ATTTTGATATTTTACCAAATCATTTGAAAATAAAAAAAAAGGGTTTATTTCAGTGGATATTTGAACTTTAGTCAAATGTAGTATGATTTTAGTGTTAAAATGGCGTCAACATGTATGGTTTGTTTAGTTCAACGGTCTGTCTAGTTTTGTGTGCGTTTTTCTCCCTGACTGGCGGGTGCAAAACTTGCCGCAAAACAAATAATAAAAAAAGGCACTACCTTAAAAAAATTCAAACATCAACATTTTTAGAACTATCTTCTCATAAAATAAAATAGATTAATAGATAAACAAATAGATCATGGAGCAGTTTTCTTTATCACCAGATGATCAAAACAAACAAGATACATGACGGTGTGGATGGGAATTTACAGAATGGAGGATAATGGGCAAAAAATATAAAGAATAGAGAAAAATGGGCAAAAATAAAATACAGAATAGAGAATAATGAGGGGCTAAAATATAAAGGATAGAGAACAATGGGCAAAAAGTATACAGAATGAAGAAAAATGGCCTAAAAATTAAAGATTACAGCAATGAAGGACCCCTATCCAGACCCTCATACATTGATCACATAAATTGTATCACAGTTTTAATAAGCAATTCCTAGTCCAATTACTGTGACACTTTATTTACATTCAGATAGATCATACTTAGAACAAATAGTTGCTATCCACAGTTTCGTATTCACATGTATCCTTTAAATCTCTATTTCTCTGATAAGCTTTGGATAATACGCTCTAGAATTTTCCGCGAGTATTTAAATTGGTGAGTATAATTATTTTCCTTTTTTCATGTTTAAATTTACAATAAAACTTTTATTTTCTTTCCTAATTTGAATCAACAAAGAAAAAGCCGGTACTTTTGACCCCATGCACGGCTTCAAAGAAAAAAAATCTCTCACCCTAAAAGTGTAAGGAATGGATATAAAATAAGGATATGTGGTATGCTAACCATGAGACATCTATTCACCAAAAAATCTAAGGACAATTTCTGTGAACAACTACAGGTCACCGTACTGCCTTCAACCATGAGTTAACCCATACCATAAAGTAATCTATTAACCAACCGTGCGAGACCCTCTTGTGTAGTCAAGGTTTTTAAAAAATCCCTAGTAGTAGCCAGAGGCCCTGGATAACAAAATGTGATATTACAACAGTGAAAAACCAACGGCCTGGTCTATACAACGAAAAACAAATATGACTGACGATAGCAAACGATATCTTCAACTATAACGCGCGCTTCTAAAAATATGTTGTCCATTTCCTTTGTAGTCAAGTGACAATGCAGCATGTAAACATGATACTTTAGTACATGACAATGTCGATATTTTCAAGCAAATCTGACATGTGACAAAGTGGATTCATTTGTGTCATAACCCCTTTTGTCTAACAATGACTATGTTGCAGGATTTCCTGATTTGATTCAATTTATACTCAGCTGATATGGGTGTCTTGATGAACTACCCATGTGAACTAGCTTCAATGTATATATTTTTTCAAATTGCTTTCATTCACATGTACAAAGGCTTTCTTTTACTCATTCTGTTATATAAAAGAGTGTCAATAGCCGTTAGAAACAGCTTTATAAATAAGAAGATGTGGTATGAGTGCCAATGAGACAACTATCCATCCAAGTCACAATGTGTAAAATGTAAACAATTATAGGTCAAAGTACGGCCTTCAACACGGAGCCTTAGCTCACACCGAACAGCAAGCTATAATGGGCCCCCAAAAAGACTAGTGTAAAACAATTCAAACAGGAAAACCAACGGTCTAACTTATATAAAAAACGAGAAACGAGCAACATCTATGAACCACACCAACAAACGACAACCACTGAACAACAGGCTCCTCCTGACTTAGGACAGGTGCATAAAAATGCAGCGGGTTTAAATTAACCTAATTGTCCTTGTTAAATAGACAATTTCTGTATTTCAAAATTGATATTTGTAACGAGATCAATTCAATTGACTCGTTTTGAATGTTCACACACCAATTGATAAAATCAGATTTTTGACAAAAAAATCATACTGATTTATAATATTATTATAAGTGAAACTATGTGTGTATTCTATTTCTTTTATTTCGTTTTGTACTCATGTCAATATGCATACTTTCTAGGGTTAAATTTAAATATCGAGTTAAATATAATTAGAATTTAATTAAAACCACTTGAAGAAGATATTTGGATAACGTTATGCTCTTTTTAAAAAAAGTGAACAACACATATGATGTAAAATTATTTACAGACAATGGTAAGAAGAAACAGGGCATTTAATAACGTCACTTTGATAAACCCTAACCCGGATAATTCAGTCCTTCATCGTGATCGACTCTCCCACTAGCCTTCGTAGAGCAAAGGAATAAACGACTAATTTATTTATGTTATCTAACCAAGCTGAGATTAAAATTTTCGGAAAAACAAAACTTATCCTTCTGGAGAACCGGACAACCCTCCCCTTTTTTTTCAATTTGGTGTGGTTCATGTTCTCAGTTTGATCTTTTCTTTGTATTTTTTGGTGAACTTTTGTTTGAATTTTCGTGTTTTATTCGTTTATCCATGATGGTTTCTGTCTTTCTCTGATTTAACCCCCATTATATCTTCTATCCCCCTTTTTTGACAGAAACTTTGAACTTGACATACGAGTGGCTTTGCTAATTACTAGGAGTTTTCATAAATTGATTTGCATATCAAAATCATATTTAAACGACAAGAAATCAGAAAGCGAAATATTTTACACAAAATGACACGAGTAAAGAATAAAGATAAACCATGTTAAAATAAACACACAAATGGCATGTTTATGTAAGAAAAATGTGCAATTTTTTTTATATGTTTAATTTCACAATAGTAAGTAGAATTAATTTGATTTTGTATTTTAAGTCAACAAATTCATATTTTGGGATAATACTTCTTGAGTTGAAAGTCATTGTATAAGTATATAATAACTTAACCAAATTATTGGGTGGGTCACGAAGTTAGACACTTAATTGTATATATAGAATATTGAATGCCAAAAATACAAACATTTTTGTATATTCATAACAATTTGCCCTAAGAAGAAACGTGTGACATTTTATTTATCAAGAGTTGAATCATAAAATATATAGTATATGCTTTCATTTTCGCGTGATTGCATTGTTTTCAAATAATTTGCAAGCGATATAATTTCTTCTTATCTAAGGGTATTTGTATTTATCGATACAAATGAAACTTTTTGTTAAATTCATTGATACAAATTAATAAAATTAAACTATTGTATTTGTAGGAATAAGACGATTGGGAAAAATGTAGCGGTTTTTTAAATAAAGATCGACAAAGATAAAAATTACAGACAGAAAAAAAAAAATTTTATTTTATTATATATATATATATATATAACAAACTATCTTGTCTATTTATTATACAAATATTTAGTATAAAAGTGTTATTTTAATATACCAAGAAAATAAATAACCTACCTTATTGTTTTAACGGCCGTTGAATCTTTTGTTTATAAACTATTTAAATCCCTTTACTATTATAACACACGACTCTACATCTATAGGCGTTGATGTCAAAATGTAAATAATCCAATTAAAGTTTTTTTGCTAATTCGACTTTAAAATGAACTAAAATGCAACAGACCCCTTTTGAAGGCCATTTTCTAAAGTAGTTTAAAAAGACGATGGCTTTGATGTTAAGTTTATAGACAAATCTCGTAAAACGTCCCACTGATAAGATGATACTTAGTTCAATGGTGACGGGGTCTTTGTCAGCTGATAGATATGATAGGCGAGAATTTTAATGAAGAAACTGCTAACTTCTAAAACATAATTTAAAATTAATGTAAACAAATTGATAGAATTTGTCTGTACTTTAATTTGAATTGAGCGCATTGATATTTTAATGAAGAATTTGCGATGTTAAAAATCAAATATGATATTTTTTTTTTTTCATTTAATGGTTGAAAACATAAATAAATCTACCTATTTTGGGGAAATTTATAATTTTGAACAAAACCGGTAGTCAGGGAAAGTGGGTGAGAAGTGGCTTTATAATATTACTTTTAAATTTTAAACATATCTTAAATGTCATATTAACAAATTAAATGCGACAAACACATATATTTTATATATCACTGCAATATAAAGCAAACATATATCATTATATTAAATTAATGCAATCAGGAAACATATATACATGTATAAAAATCATGAAAAATCAAGCTCCTCCTTTCCTCAATTTTAAAGACTGTTAAAAAAAACCTCGATTAGAACATGTGTCACAATTTCTGTTAGTCCGAGGACACAATAAATAAATACAGACCCTACTAGAGTGGACAGTGTATAACCTTTGTTTTCATACACCTTCCAAATTAAACCCTTTATGTGTAATGCATAAAATACTTAGAAGGGAGTGAAATTGCATGTTAAAAACATTTGAGTGATTAAATTTTATGTAAAGTAGTGGTCCACTTAAAAAAGGTCAAAATTAGTATGCCTGAAGCTGTCAATCTGACTTATAGACCCCCTTAACATAGAATTATCAATATTTTTAGTGAGATCTGGTAGTTTTTTCTACACTGTAAAAATCTTTTTGAGATATAGCAGGTGCGATTTTTAAAATTTTTGAATTTATTGTCTAAAAGAAATGCACTCAAAATAACTGTGTTCTCGGGCCTGTTGATACAGGGTTATAACGAATGTGATTTTTAAACTTTTAAAAACCATTGACGTTGTCTCTTTCCAGGCCTTTCTTCAGATTTTCAATTTTTCATTTCCCCCCAAAATTACTTCCATGTCATCAGTTTAACATTCTTCTTTTGAGCAAGAACCTTCTTTGCTATCCCTATGGGTGGTTAGATCAAATTTTTAAACAATGATTAATTTCAGTAAAGAAATCTGAGCATCAATGCATGGTAACAGTTGCAACCATCTGAATGAGATTTTGAAAATGCGGTAGAAGCTTTATAAAAATAACATAAAAAGACCCAACTGACTTTTTTGTGCCAAAATAACATGGTATCGTGTACAATAAATACAGCGTCCAGGAATACAATATTCAATACGTAAGAAGTAACAGGTTTGTAAAAACTATCTATAATCAATAGGTATTACCAAGCAAATCAAGCTCGAGAAAACATCTTTTTATCAATTGTTTCACATATTTTCATGCCATTGGTTTTCTGGTTTGAACGGATTTACAATTTGTCTTGACGGAGCCTTTTATAGCTTACTATACCATAGGGTATGAGTTTTGCTCATTATTAAAGTTCGTACTGTGACTTTTAGTTGCTTACTTCTATGTCCTTTTGCTGCCTCGGTGGTCTTGTGGTATAGCGTGTTCGCCTCGAGTGAGGGAGGTCGTGGGTTTGAACCCCGGCCGGTTCAAACCAAAGACATTAAAACTGGTATTTGCTGCTTCTCCGCTAAGCACGCAGCATTAAGGACTAAGAGCAAAGACTGGCTGCTCGGGGTCAGAATAATGTTTCCAGGTAAGGTGTCATGTCTTCCTGCGGACTGTTACCTTGTGAACTAGCACGTTAAAAATCCTGCTCAGCGTGTCGGTCTAGTACAAAACAGGGTAAATATTAATAATTCATTAACATGTTCTCGTCCTGAATTTGCATATCAATTTGCCGCTGGACGTCAAGCAGCCATCCATCATCATCATTATCCATGTACTTTTGCTTAGGTGGATAGTCGTCTCATTGACAATCACACCATGCACGACAACTTATATTATACGAAAGCTAGAATCACGCTCGGTCCTTTCTTTGTAGTGAGTTGCGAAAATTACAAAAACGAAATGAGATAAAGAAGAGTCCAATGCATGCTACTAGTATATAAGCCTCGGTGTTACTGCGCATGCTTAGAAATATTACACAAAGGGTCTAAAAAAGTAGAATGATATTATAGAATGATAACTCCAGTGCCATTTTAGTATCAAATCGTCCAAATTTGCTTTTGACTCGCTTCGCCTTGTGCTATATCTTCAATTATCGAAAGTTACGCCCCTTTCAAAAATCATTGATTCGCCCCTGGTAAGTTACGGTAAGAAATTTTGTAACGATTTATGTTTTGTCTGTACATGTATGTTTACAATTTTGTTTGAGTATGTTTTAATGTCTATTGATGTACTAGTTCCTTTTCCGACTGTACGTGTATCGGAAATGGTGTAAATGTGTGCTTCAGTATTGCTTCTTATTCTGTCATAGTGTTAAATAATTAAGTATTTCTGAATTTGATGTAGACACTGATATTTTGCCGGCATAAACGAGTTTGAATGAGAAACGTTTTTTTTCTAAGCACTGTCCATTTCATAGTATGCCGCTTGTTGTTTGCTGAAAGTTCAGCGGTAAATATTTCTTATATATTCGAGCCAAAGCAAGTTAAACAATAGATTATAAGTAAGTTATGTAAAGGGTCTACCATGATGGAGGTTTGAAATTTGGACTGCCACTGAAAAAGAGGCTTTGATGGAACGACGCAAGAATTCAGATATCGCAACATGCCACCTTTAAATAGCTGTTGCAAAGGTTTCTTAACATGCAGGGAGCAAGCACCTTCTAAGTCCTGATTAAGACAGGACTTAGCTGGTTGTTTATAAATCCTGCTCAGCCAAATAGAAATCTCTGTGTCTGGGTCAAGCTTCCGAACGTAAGGATTTCAAGCTACAATATTTCTATAAACAAGTCAACCTTTGGGGTTTCTACAAACACATTCAAATTCATAGAAAATAAATGTGATCACTATCTTTAACCAACAAAACTTATTAAGCAGTTTTTCATAATGGGACAGTTGCTAATAAAATTATGTAGAGGTGTAAAGATATTTTGCACAAAGTAAATGTTCAAAACATATTATAAATCCTTTAATTTTCATTTTTGTGTCAATCTTTTAAATAACCTGCTGTATGTGATCAATTTAGTTTAATTTTCGATTGCTCTGTAAGCAATTGTTCAAAAAGTGTTTGTCCTACTTGTCCTGGGGATACAAATTCCAGCACTGTAGATATAAAGTCCAGCGCTGAAGATACAAATTCCAGCAGTGTAGATGTAAAGTCCAGCGCTGAAGATACAAATTCCAGCACTGTAGATGTTAAGTCCAGAGCTGAAGATGCAAATTCCAGCACTGTAGATATAAAGTCCAGCGCTGAAGATACAAATTCAAGCGCTGTAGATGTAAAGTCCAGCGCTGAAGATACAAATTACAGCACTGTAGATATAAAGTCCAGCGCTGAAGATACAAATTCCAGCACTGTAGATGTAAAGTCCAGAGCTGAAGATACAAATTCCAGCACTGTAGATATAAAGTCCAGCGCTGAAGATACAAATTCCAGCACTGTAGATGTAAAGTCCAGAGCTGAAGATACAAATTCCAGCACTGTAGATATAAAGTCCAGCGCTGAAGATACAAATTCCAGCACTGTAGATGTAAAGTCCAGAGCTGAAGATACAAATTCCAGCACTGTAGATATAAAGTCCAGCGCTGAAGATGCAAATTCTAGCACTGTAGATGTAAAGTCCAGCGCTGGAGATACAAATTCCAGCACTGTAGCTGTAAAGTCCAGCGCTGAAGATACAAATTCCAGCACTGTAGATGTAAAGTCCAGAGCTGGAGATTTATATCTACAACACTGGAATTTGCATCTTCAACGCTGAACTTTGCATCTACAGCGCTGGATTTTACATCTCTAGCGCTGGAGATGCTGGACTTTACATTTCCAGCATTTGACTTTAAATTTACAGCGCTTGACTTTACATCTCCAGCGCTTGACTTTAGATCTACAGCGCTGGACTTCAGATCTCCAGCGCTAGACTAAAAATGTACATCGCTGGACTTTAGATCTACATCGCTGGAATTTACGTGTCCAGCGCTTGACTTAAATCTACAGCGCTAGACTTTGAAAGACCACAACTCTTTATCTTTATGAGACCAACAGGACTTTAGATCTACATCGCTGGAATATACATGTCCAGCGCTTGACTTAAATCTAAAGCGCTATACTTTACATCTCCCCCGCTTGACTTTGAAAAACCCACAACTCTTTCTTTATCTTTGTGAGACCATCAGGGCTGGCTCCGTAAATGTCATCTTGTATATAAATGTACTATTCTTGCCCAAAAATGGAAAATAAATTGGTAAATTATCAAATAAGATAAATACTTTTGGAATTACAGAAAAAGGAAACGATTGGTTTAATCAACCCAAAAGCATTTAACGCGAAACTTATCATTCATTCAAAGGGAGGTAACCGAGTTATTAAAATTGCCAACATAATAAGGCGTAATAACGTATAATAAACTGCGAAGTAGGGGTAATGAAAGTGATTAAAACCCATTTAAAAGCAATTTGATTCGAAATTATTGAAAGTTTTATGCATATAAATTATTATTCCATTAGGATACATTTATTTATAAAATAAATCAAATTATATTTCTTAAGTTAAAAATTTAAGAAACATTTTATGCAATTAAATTTTAAAATGCTATAATTCACAGAAAATGGAACAGGTGCGAGAAATGGGAGACCAATTCATGGGGTTAAGTATGGGTGAGATCCTGAAAGAAATTGGTGCAGTTATATATGATAAAATTTAGCATAATTGCACGTAAATATAAATACAAATAAAAATAACCAAAAAACTCGTGAGATCAGACTAAGGCAATGACAAATACAAATTTTGAGAAAAAAAAAAAGATATAGAGATGTAATCCGTTAGGAAAGGCATTTTCTGTTGAGTACATTAAATGTATATTTTGCTCATCTTGTATTGAAAACAATTGAGCTGCATCGGATAGAAATCGATCTTATGCAAGTGCACGCATACGTGTACATGTATTATATTTCATTTGATTTTGGAACAATCAAATCCAAAACAAAAGATGAATTTTGGTCTGTTTTGTACGATTCTAATATCGACATAATTTGCAAACAGTTGCATACTTTGCATAGAGTTTTTTTTTCAACCCGACATAAGTTAATAGAAATATTGATACTCATTTGCATAATGTCGAATTTTTCTATCCGACGCAGCTCAATTGATACATATGGTTGCAGCTAGACTGGTTGATGTTTGTGTAACGTCCAGTGACACATATTTGATAATGACTCTGCACCAGAGAATGGAATGCTGTATGACTGATGACGTCAATAACATGTATTAACTTCCTTGATTTATGAGTTTCTAACTTTCTGTTATATGGCTGTCCTTTTCTTTAAAATTTCACAATCTAAATCATTATTTCGTTGTTAGGCATCAACTATTATACCAGTGAGGGAACCTAATATTTTGTTATATCGAAAAAAATCTGACTCAAAACATTTGTAACACAGGTAGAATCATGAACATTTCATAATATTTTCCACACTTCACTTACTTTATTGGCGTCTAGAGAGAAATAATCTAACACGAGCTGACGCTGAATAAAAGAATAATTTTAGATGAGAAAAAGCATACAATTTACCTCAACATAAATAATCCCTTACCTTAAGAGGAAAATGGTAGGTGCTTTTTAAAAATATTTGAGAAGCAGTTGTTTTATAGAAATCATCTCATTTTCAAAGATGCTTCTCAGAGTTTTATGTAGTCTAATTTTTCGATATTCACTGATTACCATTTTGTACACATATAGCAGGGATTGGTGTAAAATAGAATACTTTATTGTCCACGAAGAAAATATGTATCTACTGGCATCGATGGTATTTTTGATCTTAAGGCAAATCTTCTCTTATTATTTTCAGTATGTCGTATCAGTATATGCGCCATATTCAGATATGTGTGTCTTCCGACATGTACAACGAACGTTCGAATGTCGAGCTCTGTAAATTTACAGATTGTGACCTGTTCCCTATCGTGATATGTTAACTGCATGAATCGGGATGTTCATTGTGATGACAAATGCATAGCAGGAGACAAACATTTTGTTACTCCGTTGAGGTTTTGGTCAAAATTATGAACAAACAAAAAATGAAAAAAGACGAAAAAAACAATCACAAGTCTACAAAACACTACAAAGGAAACTAAAAATAAAAATAAAAGATAGGGCAACATAATCCACATCTATAAACCCGGGGGATAAACTCATGTGCTATGGGAGGGTTAAAAGGTGGGGAAATATTAAACAGACGAGTATATACATTGTAGTTACAGGTAAATAAACCAGGTGTAATAAAACCCAATTAGCTAAAGACTTGATTGGTACTACGAGTTCCAATGAAAAATGAGGAGAAAATTATGTTGATTAGAACGGGTTTGCATATCTAAAGAAAAACACTAACTGCCTGGCTGTAAAGGTCACTTGTGACGGCCTTTGTTCTGTAAAAAGTCTTTGAGAGTGGAACTTATTGTACAATTTTCAGGAAGCATATCAATTCACTTTTTTCTTACCGGGTCTGTTCAGTATAGCCTAACTTAATGTATACGGTAACGATTTGATCATTGTTGAAGGTTGTATGATTATCTAAAATTGTTCACATCTTTGTCTTTTGGTCTTTATGGACGATTGTCTTATTGACAATCATACCTCAGGTCTTTTTTTGTATGGTTAATGTCAGTTTATTAAGACTATTTTCATGTACCTTGGACAAACATATAGCATCCATATTTAACGTGTGACTAATAGAAAAAGAATTCTCTTTGATTGCACAAAAATGATATCTTAAATCCGAAACTATTCACTTGTTCAATGGAACTTTTCCAATAAGTTTCAAATTTCAATGACATCGGTGACTCATTATAAAAGCATTTGACAAATTCCCTTTAGTTACCCAGCGACAAACTATTGATTAAATATAAATTGACAACATCTTATTTGTAGCTGATAAAATCTATTTACATACGAAATTCATCGCCCTAAATATGATTTATGGTGTAAATTGTCATAATAAATTCGTTCTACCAATGCTGGTACAACGTGGTGTCTGCCCATTAACCATGGAGGTTTTCGCGCTCAATTTAATCACTTTCACGTATCCATTTTGATTTTATTATCCTTATTTAGGTTTATGAAAAATTAACGGACACAAATTACAATATACATCTGCATTGGTTCCCAAAGCTGTCTAGCATGATTATATAAGAAAGGTATGCAATAAAGAGTTGACAAAAAGCGGAACGTCGGGACCAAATTAAAAAGCAATGCCGTAAATTTAAATGTGTTTTCATTTGTAGAAGTTTAAAATTAATTCCTTTAATGTGTTTTAAATTATGAATATTTGAACTTTAGTGCGCTATTAGCAAACAAATAAACATACATTTTCAAATAATTGATAGAAAAGAAATATTTAGTTATACGACAACAACATTCCTATTTACGTTATTGAAAAAGTAAATGTTAACGATGGCGTTTATCGATCTGTGTATATAAAGAAAGACAACTCTCGTGGTTTCAATGCTTTTAACAAATTTACTCGTGCATCATGCTGTATGCAATTCTAAGGTAAAAAGGGAAGTTTTATGCATTTTGTGATAAGTTTTCCATGCAACAGAAACAGAAAAGATTGAATGTTTGATTATTTAATGTAAAATAAAATTACTACATAAAATATAGACAATTCTTTTTATAATTATTTGAAATAATAAACCATATCATATTTTTCTACTGTAACAAACGATATGAAAGAAAAGATATTATCATTGTCAAATTTGAATTGTGGAGAGATGTCTTTTTCTATAGTTTCAAACAATTTCTGACGAATATTTATATAATTATTACCTTTTTCAGAGAGAAATCATTGATTTGTTATCATATTGTAACGAAGTATAAAAAGGACTGATACATGTATTTTATGTCCAATGTCAAAAGTTCAATTAATGCAATGTAATAAAAAAAAAACACTGTTTAAGATTATTTGGTTAATAAACATAATTTTTTTTAAAAGGTCATTCCCAGTTGTGGTTTATTTATTTTGATTTGATGTAACAGTATTACGATTGCAAGCGACAACATTCTGGACTTTCTGCTTATTCGTAAGAATTTGAATAATGAAATAAATGTAAAAAAAATGTGAGATGAATGAACTCATAATGACTAAAACTAGTATTATGTTATTATATACTAGAACAAGTACATAATTAAACAAAATTATAAAATAATATAAGAAAAAAAAAACTTTACATAACATTGAAGAAATAGATTGAACGCATTAAACTATACAAGCACCACATTTTAAATTTACAGTATTTAAGAACAATACCAATACAAATCAATAAAAAAAAGTGAATGGACATATTGTTTTTGAATATTTTAAAGAGTAATCAGAGAATTTTGTTTCACATAACAAACAGTATCAGTAAGTCTTTGATGTATAATGTCTCTCAGTATAGAATGGAAAAAAATGTACATCATCATTTAGATAAAACGTATATTTGCTGTTGGAATTAATTATGGAAATTATATTAATTGACATATAAACAAATTTTGCTACTCTCAAAAGGGGGGGGGGGGGGAGGGATGTGCGGAATATCGAAAATATTGCAAATTTTCCCATATCTTTCCCTTTTTGACCGACAGCTTTTAAAATATCATATACGCTTAAACACTCAACGAGTTAACACGAAAGGAAACATTAATCAGAGTATTACCACATAAGCATTACTTATTATGACGGTAACCTATACAACAGACGAATTACATGCTAATGCAAATTGTTTTGGGAATGTGTATTAATAGAAAATAAATAGACTTTATACAAGTGCACATCAGTTTTTAAAAAAGTGGAATTAATTTTTCCTTAAATTCCATCAAATACTATCTTTGTACACAAAAATAGGCGATGACCACAAAATTCATAAAGATTATGTTAGCCTCGTGTTTTAGTTTTCTAAAAATGTTTACATTTCGGCTTTGATGCTACAAATAATTGGAAGTCCCCGCCTTAAATATCAGCATGTTGATATGAGAGGGAATCTTTTTCATAACACAAACATATTAAGTGAATATTTACATAGAATTTAAAGAAGCAATCTGTTTACATTTACTTATAGACTATCCACAAATGCAAGCGTCTGTCTGAGTAGGAAGTTCAAAGAGAACCTTTTTTTTTTTAGATCACTGTAATGTTTTGGTCGGGGATAGTCCTAATTTGAAGGTAAGATATTCAAGATGGTAGTATAGCAGATAGCACATAACATACATAGAAATTGATATTTAAGAGTATTTTACAATCAAACATTTAAAATTGTTATCCGGTGACATTAAAAAAAAATGACGTTTTTTCAAATAGTGTATACTTATGAAATATTGCGTGCACAGCAAAGGGTTCTCTCAATGTTTGTTGCGTCCTTATGTTCGAAAATTGAAAGTCAAGTTCGTTATCAACACCAAATAGTAACATGTATATTATATAATACAACACACATATATATATATCTAACAAATATCTGTAAAATTTACAAATATAACTCATGGCCAAATCAAGCATATATATGTACATGTACAAGTATGTATACAAAATCTATTCTAAAACTAAGTACACTTCCAAATATTTAGACAATCCTCTGATCGGGAAACAACATGTACATGTAACATAAATCTAATTCTGTATGAAATAACATATATGGGGTTCTCAATGGGGTGGGGGTCTTCATTTCGGTATTTTAAAAATGTATGGCCATTTTTCAATAAATACTTGACATTTTAGCATTCCATTATTCTCTATTCTTTATTTTCTGGCCCATTCTCTTTTCTTATTTTTTTGGCGCATTATTCCATATTTTGTAACACCCTGATCGTCATATCGTACTAACCTACAAAATTTAATTTACCGAAGTAGAAACATATGAAGGCTTTTTCTTAATCATACTAACATATCTGTCCGCTTTTTAAAAAAACCCAATGAAACTATTAATATTTGACAATTGTAAAATTCTCAAAACGTTGCGAATATCCAGCGGGAAAAACATTCCATCAAATTCCATAAAATATTGACAGTCAGTATATTTTTATAATTTCTACTGTAAAAAAAAAACTTTATTTTTTTTCAAATCTATCTAAATTCAAACTTTTTTCTTGAATTTTCACTATATCTCGCAAAGTACATTGTATTTGTTTTTATGTGACACGTACTTATTTCAGATACTATATGAATATCAAAATTGTTACCGTCATTTTAGTTCGATATAAAAATTAACTTGATAAGCAAATATTGAAATAGAAAATGCTATTTATTTGTATACACGTTGATTTAAAAGAAGATACTTAAAATTTTGCTGGTGTGTTTTCCCCCTCACAATTTCAGAATTCACGCAATCAAATTTAATTCTCTATTATTTTTTAAACTAGAACTTGATGTATAATGGAGAAAGGTTAGATGCAATGCCAATGAAAATATATCAAGATATCAATGTCCTACGATAAACCTTAAGATTTGGTTCATGATGGTCTGAGGAATTATCTTTCTTAGAATGGCCCATCTCGAGGTCGTGCTAAGATCATCGTAAGACCATCATATGGAAATCAATAAATATATGTTTAGAATAAAATTGAGAATAGAAACGGGAATGCGTCAAAGAGACAACAACCCCGACTAAAGGGCAGAAAACAGCCCAAGGCCACCAATGGGTCTTCAATACAGCGGGAAAATCCCGCACCCGGAGGCGGGCTTTAGATGGCCCCGAAACAATAATATATACTAGTTCAGTCTATGCATATAACAATGATCATGATACGTCGAGTATTCAAATTTGTGCTTTCCCCTTTCTCACTAAATCCACGAACATCAATATCCAGCTAATACTATTGAATTAAAGGTATGTTTAAAAAGTCAAAATTATAATACATTTACATCTTGATAAAGTATCATCATTAAGTTCATTAATTTCGATATAAAAACTACAATTTTATATATCAAAAGTATACAATGAGTTTTTGAGAAATATAAATAGCATACATTTGTGGTTCCAAAAATAAATAATTACAGGCAAATGATACAAATTTACTAAATGAATTACAACTTTATTCCGGGTGTCGTTTACCTTGTAGGCAACATCAGAGTATGAAGAAAAAAATATGTTAAGTAACAAAAATTGCAATAGAAAACATTCGAATATAACTATTCAAAATTATTCAAAAATGAATACCCAAAATAAAGGGGTAACTGTTTGATGTTATATGAAAAGACAAAATATGAAAAAAATGTATGAAATGAATTTCATGTCATTACCGTGTGTCAAATATCAAATTAATTGTAACGAAGCAGGTATGACAAGCCCATCTTACTGGTCCCTTGAATAAAACAAAATCAAAGTATTATGAATCTATTAAAATAATAACATTTCAAATTTTCAAAAGGAATATTGTCAAAGATATTTATCTCAGGCGTTTACACTTCTTGTATTTACACCACGTTTAAAAGTACGACCGTAAGTTCGTTGTCTGATTAAAGATTAACATAATTATATTGTATCCGGCTACTCGTTCTACTGATAAAAAAAATGGGTTTTTATTGTCCATAACTGATTAAATATAAGCTTCAAGTGAAATCTAGCTCGAAAGATTATCTGTAAATCAAAAATCTAAATATATGTGCTTATCTGAGATCAGACAAGGAATTTTCAATGGTATTAATAAACACTTTTTGAATAAAAAATTAAAAAAAACATAACAGAACTGCGAAAATTGTCTTATCTGAGTTATGCCCATCAGTATTTAGATTTTCAACAGACTTATAAAAAGATGTTTGCCACCAATGTCTTACAAAAAGCTGTTGGTGGGAGTTAACAAAGCTTTGATAAGGGTTTTGCAAATTCTAACAATTACATAAAAGAAAAAAACACACACACACACATTTGTGACACTTTTTTTAATCCCCAAAAGGAGGATTTAACATAAAAAATGACATCTTAGAAGACATTTCTGCAATAAGGTAACATACTATGGAATCCTGGTATCTTATCAATAAAAATTAACATAATTATCCAAGGATGACCTAGGTTAAGGTAGATAACACTTCTAAGTAACATAATACATATTATTTACTACTGTTCCACATGAGTGCTTGAAAAGAATTGATGAAACTGATTATAACAGATATAAAGGGTAAGCTCCCTTTATCCAGGTCGTCCCCTTTAAAGGATTGTAGAATTGTACCAGTTTTGCAATTTTAAGAAAAATGCAATTGCTCACATTTAACAATGTATTTTGCTTACGATCGTGTGCTGAATGGCAATATTACAGTTAATGATATATTTAAAAAGTAATAAACTGAAGCCTTACACACAGCATCCAATATATACTCATTATAAAAGAATGCAGACTACATGCATTACTTTCCCCTCCTGGAGTGGACAACACAGAAACACGTTATCTCAAAAACAACAAAATGTGTATGGAGTCACAAGGAAGACGTGTGCAAAAAACTTTTTTTTTTCTACTAGCAATGATATCAAATTTATAATCTAAAGAGTGATTGGTAAAAAATAAAAGTAAATGATTAAATGTTGTTTGCTTAACTGTTATACAAAGAGGGAATCCACAATGCTTCCTCTAATCAGATTCTGAAAAGGCAGATTGATCACACGTCCTACCCAATAATAGGTCAAATATTGTATATGTAAAGAACGTGTCGCGGTTCAGGGGAATATGCTTATGACCATTTGTTTTACACTAGATAGCGAAGGGCTTACTTCTGATAGATATCAAAAATTTGTCTTTACTCTCATCCATTATACCTTTTGGTTTTCTTGTTTGAATTGTTTCACACAATATCATATCGGGGCCATTTACAGCTTATTATATGGTATGGGTCATGCACGTTATTTAGCTTCTTGTGGATAATTTCTCATTAGCATTCAAACCACATCTCCCAATTTTTATATTACATTCCTTTTCCACTGTCAGTCCAGGTTACCCACATGATTCCGTGTAATTCACCTCGCAGAACCTGCCTATTAGATTTGTTGTTAAATTTGTTCTCGTTCTAATTATTCAAGATGATTTACCACTTAACGTTCATGAATGAACAATCAATCATTTGCTGATCATGTATAAAGATTTTAGATTTCTCCGATTAATTTCAAGTAGATAAAACTGAAAGTATCAAACTATTTGATTGAAAAGTATCTCACGTGAAAGACTTTAATATATTATAATATGATTTCTGTGCGCCTAATACGTGCTTATGAGCTAACATTCATCTAGTACGTTTGACACGAACAGTTTTGAATGACAATTTGTTTTGTTCGCGTCGTTCAATCCATTAAAATATCTGATATTGATGCCTGTTGTCTATATGTTCCTACTGCATGTCGTCTATCTATAATCTGTTCTTGTTTTCTGCCAAACACCTGGTTCTGTTGCCTGTCGTCTATTTGTTCCTTGTGCCTGTCTATTTTCTTTTCTATGAGTTTGCCAAAAACACTCTTCTAATAACGGCGTGCTTAATGATTCTGGTGCCTGTCGTGTATGTATTCCTGTTGTATGTTGTTTATTTGTTCCTGCTGCCTGTCGATTGTCTGTTCTTGTTGAGTGTTGAATACATGCTTCTGTTGCCTGCCAAATATATGCTTCGGTTGCCTGTTGTTCATATGGTCCTGTTGTTTGGGGTTTATCATTGCCTGTTGTCTTTTGTGTATTTAAACTTGTCAGTCGAGTATATTTTCCTGTTGCATCATGTATATCCATTCCTTTGGCTTTTCTCTTTTTTTTAGGTTTTTCTTTAATTTTCTTCTTTTTAGATGAACTAAACTCAAGCAAACTGTCTGAATCGGAACTACTGGAATTTGAACTGGGGTTTTCGGCTTTTAAACTGGACAATTCTAATGACTTTGATTTTTTGCTACAGTTTAAATCGCAAATGTTTTCTAACATTTTATCTACTTCATCAACATTTTTTTTAAACTGAAAATTTATTTCATAAAAAGTAAGTTTTGCCGGTAACGTGAGCAAATGTTGATCGATTTGCTTTTTTACTTTCTGAACTTCAATCATCACTTGAACATTTGAAGCCTCTCTTACGGTTATTTCTAAAATTTGCTTTGTATTCGCAACAGTTTTCTTTTTATTTTCGAGATCGGTAATAGAGGTTTCAAGTTTTGACTTTTCTTCTTCAAAATGCATTTGGTATCGTTTTGTCTGATTTTGTTTCATTGCATCAACTTTTTTTTGAACATTCGTCCAGAAGTCGTTGTATGTTTCCAGCTGAGAAATGTTGCGTGTTTCTAAATTTTCAAGTGACTCTCTTTCTAGTTGCATAACAATGTCTATATCTGATAATAAAGCGCTGACATCGTTTTTAGTCTTGTCTTCTGAATCCGTTTCTCTGAATTTCGATGCGGCATCCTCTATTGTCAAAACGTTTTCACACTTTCGATGGTTCACCGAGACACATGTTGCACAACATGGAAGATCGTGATCAACACAGAACAATTCAAGATCTTTACTTTTGTGTTCAGTGCACATATTTTTGAAAGATTTCAGAACAATACCCTTTCTTGAAATATCAACAATTTCTTGGTTGGAACTAGATTTATTTATACGGTGATAGTTCACACAAGTGGAACAGAGAGTATCAGAGCAATCAATACAAACAGAATTTGCTTCTGACTTTTTATTGACGTCAAATCTTTCGCATGACATGCATATTTTTTCTGGCCTTTCTACTTTATGTTTTTCGATTAATCCGACAAGAAGAAAATTCAGGGGCAGTCGCTTTGCCCATTGTTCTGGCGTTATACCTAATTCAGGGGCGGAAACGTTAGATCTACATACCGGGCAATTAATACATGTACGTGTATTGTCTTTTTCGAACGCGGAAGTAATATATACCGCGATACAACTTTCGCAAAAAGTATGTAAACAAGGTAAATACTTCGGAATATTAAACTGTTCTAGACAAATTGTACACGTTGTTATATCATCGTCTGTTGTACAAGAACTTACTTCAGCTGTTGCCATTTTATTTGCTACTATTTAGTTCTGTATTTATATTTAGTTCTGTAGGATTGTCACATGATAATAACGCAACACATTCCTTACCAGGTGACCGAGATAACTAAACGTGAAAAAAGAAAACACATTAGTAAAGGGGAAAGTTTAAATCCGAGTTATACTGTTGACATGGTGTAAATGTTATACATGATAAATCGACAGTTACTCAACGTTCTAGAGACAGTATATGAATAACATTTACATTCTTTAATAAAAAAAGTTTAATTTAATCTTGATATATATATTTGGATAAAATGTATAATTTTTGCAGCGAGCAAATCTGGCGCTCGAAGGCGGGCGTCAGCTGACCCTTAACAATAATGATTATAAACTCAGCATAGATACTAGGATTAAAATTTTGTACGCCAGACGCAAATTTCGTTTACAAAAGACTTATCAATGACGCTCTAATAAAAAGAGTAAAAAAGGCCAAATAAAGTATGAAGTTGAAAAGCACTGAAGACCCAAAATTCTTAAAGGTGTTGCCAATATAGCTAAGGTAGATTTTTCCTAGGGTAGAAAATCCTGAGTATTTCGAAAAGATCAAAGTTTGTAACAGTTTATTTATTATTACGACTATATTAATGATAATTCATGTCAACACAAAAGTGCTGACTACTGGGCTGGTGATACCCTCGGGGGGAAAAACCTCCTCAAGCAGTGGCATCGGCCCATTGGTTGTAAATAAACTCAGATACCAGGAATAAAATTGTGTACGCCAGACGCGCGTTTGGTCTACAAAAGACTCGTCAGTGAAACTCAGTATATGACAATTATTATCCTGTTTTATGTATCGGGCAAAAACTATGGAAGATAATGAGAAATTGTAAACAGCAAAAAATATTAACAAGACAAGATCTACAAAGAAATCAACAAAGTCTAAATTGTAAGTTCCCATCGTGGTTGCCCATGAAGACGATCTTTATCCTTTTTTTTTTTAAATTTTAGTCAAAAACTTTAATAAATGGAAACTGAATAAAAAGTTCAGCAATACAGATCAACAAAATAGATTTTAGTCATGAATTATCTTTTAGTCGTTAATGTTGGAGAATGACCATTATTGAGAATGCACATATATCCAGGTGAGCGACAAATGCTCTTAAGAGCGAATAGTTTTATTATCATTTCCAATTTAATTCGGTAAGCGAAAGTTTCGTTTGACATAGAATTATAAAATAAACAAAATATCATTCAGGCTATAAATTTAAAAAAAAAATCCGTTTTAGGTCAATCCGATTCCTACAGATAATTAGGAGACAACTATTTGTATTACACGAATATGTATTAAAATTCACTAAATTGATATTCAGTCCCGATGTGATCCAAAGAGAGACATTTTCGTTTTGCATAGAATTATAATAGAATAACGGAAAATACCATATCAGGCTATGAATTTCACCAGTAATGTAAGTAATATGCTAATCCGATTTATATACAAAGAATAAAGAGATAACAGTATTGTATTGAGATTAGCAGGCATCAATTTAAGTTTATGAAATACAAAAATTATGCCCTTAATTATCTAAATGAAATACTGCTATCTCAATTCTAATGCAACTGTATATATATATTTATATTGTTAAATAATGATTTTTAAAATAATGTTCATTGATGTCTGCGCTTGCAAGCATCATTTAAAGCCATATTTTGTGCATTTGTTGACAGGAATTATGTGACGTTATCAATCAAAATAAAGGCATCTAGCATTGAGGCATAACAATGATAAATGTAATCACAATATGAATTTGTTCAAACTTTCACTAAGAACAATTTGCAATTTGAAAAACACTGCATATGAATTTCTATCGATATTTTACACATTTTGTAAAGTCAAAAGATATACATTCTGTTAAAATCATTCTAAAATGGTTGTTTGTGAGTATAGCATCTCCTGTATAAAAATCCTTCTGTTCAAATGTGAATACTTAGTATGTAAGCAGGATTATGGAATTTTCACCTTAAATTTCAAAGATAAGTGAACATGCAACTTACTATAATGACTGGTATTATAGTATACATAGGCTGTAAAACATATGCCCTGGTAACTTATACCGTTTTTTAATAAGATGGAGAAATGTTCTTTTTAATAACTGATAGTTTTTTTCTAAACTCAACGTCCAATGCATAATCATGATGAGGACTAAAGACATTAAAATTAAAATGTCGGTTCTGTAACGTGGGTCGACCAATTGAAGAAAACACGGTGGAAATGAGGGTATGTTGGAAGGCGCCGATGTAGGCAAGAGTATGCAACCTACAGAATAATCCCAAAAAGTGTCATTAAGTGATTTTCTCTAATAAGACATTGGATTCGACATCCACATTCCGACCTGACGTGATCTCGTGCAATAAACCCCGCACAGTCAAAAGGGTCTTCCGGGTATAACTAGAAGACGGGAAAAATTCAGGTGATCATGTGTTTTTACTTTAGTCAATATTTTGGGAAAGTAGTTATTCTCTTGATCACCAAGGGGTATTCGTCGAATACATGTACCATATTAGAATCGATTGCGTTTATTTGTAATTTTATTTTCCAATTGTCCAACTTAATTCAAATATTATATATACAAATTCAATAAGCGTAAATTAAATAATTTTGTTTGACAATTTTACTATCTTTTTTTTTTTAATTTTCACTTCTGCATTTTGCATTTCACTTCTATGCCCTTTTCTCTATTTTTTGTGGTGCTTTTTATCTAGAGTTGTTGCACTGGTTATCATTTCGATACCCCAAATGTAAAAATTGTCATAAAGGAACTCTCTGGATTAGTTGAACTCGAAGGGGACATAAATGAAATCTCTTGACTTACTGGAGGACCTGTTCTCAAAGAGAGCCAACATGGTTTTTTTTCTGGATGGCCTGTGGTCAAAATGAGCCTAACTGAACACTCAGATTTGTCTATGCTCGAACGAGATCTATAAGAACTCTCTGGTTGACAATTGCTTTTAGAGCAGACCGAAATGAACTCTCTGCATGATATGTACTGAAAGTGGACCCTACTGAACTTACTGGATGACCTTTACTCGAGGTTGACCTTATTAAACTTATTGGAAGACCTGTTCTATAAGTGGACATACAGGAGCTATCTGCATGACCTGTAATTAAAGGTGCTTTCAGTGAAAGCTATGTTTGACCTGGGCTCGAAGTGGGCCTAAATGAACTATCTGAATGAACTGCTGTGAACCCTTACGATCTCTTTGGATGGTATACTAGAAGTGGAAATACTATCAGCATCGCCAACTGCTTCCACTGTAATGTCGTTTTTGATACATTTGGAACTTGACAAATGAAAAAACTTTCCTTTTATCATTGTTTATGATGATGTTTTCATCTATGTTTTTTAAAACTGAATCTCTATTTTGTACGTAATTTTAGAGGTCTCAATATTTCGAAAATGTTTTTCAATATTTGTATTAAGTTTGTGAACTTCAATCATTAACTGAACATCCGAAATCTCTTTCAAGGCTACTTCCAGAATGTTCTTAGTATTTGGTACTGCTTTCTTTATATTCTCTACATCACGAATGGTGATGGCTTTCTTTTGTCGATTTGTTTTTAAGTTTTTCAATACTTTGCTGCATTTTTGCCAGAAAAGTGTATATTTTTGCATTTCAATATCATAAATGGCTTCCATGTCAACTAACTAACTCCTTTTAGATTCTAAAAATTATCCATAATCAGCTAATGAAGCACTGACTTGATTTTTTTCTTGACTACGGAGTTTGATGGTCGGAAAATCTAAGCAGCTTCCTCAATAGTCAAAGCATTCTCGCATTTTCTTTGGTTTACTGAAATACATATTGAACAACATGGGAAATCATGATCCGCACAGAACAATTCCAGCTCTTTATTCTTGTGCTCGGAGCTTATATTCTTAAAAAACTTCAAAGCGTAACCGTCTTTTGAAATGTCTGATATTGGAACAATTTCATAATTTTAAATTGATCTACTACTTTTATGACATCGTGTACATGTTGCGCAAAGAGCATCAGAACAATCAATACACAAGGAAGACGATTGTTACTTCGTATTAACATAAAATTGTTCGCATGACATGCATATCTTTTCGGTATGTTCAAATTTGTGTTTAGCGCTTAATCCGGCAAGAAGAAAATTCAAAGGAAGTCGTTCTGTCCAATGTTCTGGTGTTATACTTGACTCGTAATTAGGAGTGGATACAATAGCCCGACAAACCAGGCAATGAATACATGCATTTTTTTCATTTACCTGTGTTTAAAGTTATTGCAAATGGATGGTATTTTTGTTCGAGAATATTGTTTTTCTTTAATTGTTTAACATTTCTTACCGATATAACATGTTACTTTTATTATTCTTCCCTTAGTTTATTTATTTTGTATTTACATTGTGTCATAGGTCAAATTTATTTGTTCAGTGTATGTTCAATGGTGTTAATATGTCCTTTGATTGAGTTCACCTATTTCAGTTGATATTTTATAGTGTGTCGTTCTATGTTGTGATGTTACACTATTGTTTCAGAAAAAGGGTGAAGGTTTGGTACCATTAAAACGTTTAAACCCGCTGCATTTGTTTGCACCTGTCCTAAGTCAGGAATCTGATGTTCAGTAGTTGTCGTTTGTTGATGTGGTTCATAAGTGTTTCTCGTTTCTCGTTTTTTATATAGATTAGACCGTTGGTTTTCCCGTTTGAATGGTTTTACACTAGTAATTTTTTGGGGCCCTTTATAGCTTACTGTTCGGTGTGAGCCAAGGCTCCGTGTTGAAGACCGTACTGTGACCTATAATGGTTTTCTTTTATAAATTTTGACTTGGATGGAGAGTTGTCTCATTGGCACTCATACCACATCTTCTTATATCTATTGTCTTTTTTGATCGCGGAATTCATATATGTCGCGATACAGTTTTCACAAAATGAATGTAAACAAGGTGAATACTTTTGGACATTAAACGTTTCAAGACAAATTTTACACATTGTTATATCATCGTCTGTTGTACAAGAACTTACTTAAGCTGTCGCCATTTTATTTGCTGCAACTTTTTTCTCTCGTTCTGTTGGACTGTCACAACATAACAAGACAATAAATTCCTCACCTGGTAACGGAGATAACTAAATTTGAAAAAAAATATACATTTCAGAACGGAAATATTTAAATAGAGTTTTACAATTGACATTATTAGCCGGTGTTTACTAAACGTTCAGGGGAAAGTATTTCATGCACATTTTACATTCTTTAATGCGCAATGATCATGAACACTATATTTTGCAGTATTTGGCAAAACTACAAAATTATAATAAACATATACAACTAGATAAACAATTACGGTAATTCTATTGTAAATAAATAATTAAATGGACGAAGAAACTTTTTAGATTGGCAAACCACAAAACAAATAAACTAGATTACTAACCAGATAAGTAAGTATTTACAATAAATCAATTGAATCCTGGGATATAAATAATTATTAATTTTTATGTGGTTGGTCCTGACATACAGAGACCCTCCATGTTGGATGCTAGATGAATTATGACGCAAATTTAAATGAAACGCAGCGAAATATGTCTTAATTTTATCTCGTTAAATTAGGTATCATTTACTTTGATAAGTGAATCAATTGATTTGAAAATATTATGATAGGTACAGGAAGATGAATGTGTATACATCACATCGGGAAAGTTATATACCCAATAAACGTCATTTATAACACACATGACGGTATGCTAGATGAAGAAAAAAAAAAACGGACTGAGCTGTTGTATCTTCTATGTTTTTTACTGTCTATTGAATTTGCTTGCCGATTTTAGTCCCCCGTTCTATTATAAGCCTTTGAATCGTTTTTACATATTTGATTACTCAAACTTCTCATATTGAGTTTATTTCAGAAACACGTGTCGTATGTTCTTACGCGTTTATTTTGTAAAGCTGTCGTGTATACTTAAAAGTTATTTTGTGAGATTGTTGTGAGTACTTTCATGCATAGTTTGTCGACTTGTGAGTACTTACACGTATATTTTGTAGACTTGTCATGAGTATCTACACGTATATTTTGTAAACTTGTGAGTACGTATAGGTATATTTTGTAAACTTGTGAGTACAATGTACATACATGTATATTTTGTAAAATTGTGAGTACTTACACGTATTTTGTAAGTGTGTCGTGAGTACTCAAACGTTTATTTTGAAAACTGTACGTACAACTTTTCAAAACATTTTTACAGAAGCGGGTCGATACAGCTGCTGATGGACTATCACTCATCGAGGGTATCATCAGTTCAGTATTTATTTCTTCGGTACTGACATAGTTTATAACAAACATTTCTCGAATTATCTGTTTATGAAAATATAGAAATTATTAAGAAACTATGGTTTCGACTCCCTCAGGCAAAAAATGATGGATTTGGTTATTATATTTTTGTCCTTATTGGTCATATAGCTTTTCAACTGTTTTTGTTCTTATACATCCTTGGCTTTCAAATATTGTATATTTAGAAGCGATTCGGACGCATGAAATTCATGAAGTGTTGTTTTCATTATTTTGTTAAAATCTATACAATCGAGTTTTAATCATCTTGTTATATTACCACGATTGAGGTAACACAACAGAGTATATTTTGAAAATGCAACTGTTTATGTTTGAAATGCTGTACCTTTTTTATGTGTTGAAAAATAAAGACATTTGAGAGGTAATAAATGAAAGAAGAACCAGCAAGCTTGAACACACTGATATCATTATGCCAAGTGATAAAATAATGAACAAGTGTCATTTGGAAAAAAAATGGATTATTTTTTGTAGCTTCGTATTTTCGTTAAAAGAAATTTTTCGCAGATTTCTAATAGCATGTGTTAATGAATAATGACTTTCTCTGTTTTGTGAGACCTTATAAATCACAAATATTTGAAACTAAATTTCTTTTTAATTGGACCCTATATCAAAAAGACATTGAAAGTACATTTTATCTTTGTTCTTGAAAGTTTTTTTTATTTTATTGGTTTCCAAACTTTTGAAATCGAATATATCTGATGAAGAAACATTTTGTGACCTCGATACACTTCTAGTCTCCAAACATGTACAGTGAGTAATATTGCATTGCATTATTTGTTATATATGCACTTGTATTTCAGTTCACGAATTTGTATTATCAGTCCTCATTTCATAAGGAAAGATCTATTACATGACCAAAAATCCATTTCAGGCTATAACCTTTAAATAAAGACAACAGTAGTATACCGTTGTTCAAAAGTCATAAATTGATTAAGAGAAAACAAATCCGGGTTACAAACTAAAACCGAGGGAAACACATCAACTATAAGAGGAAAACAACGGAACAACAGAAACACTGAACTGCAACAAAAACAAACGCCAACATACATAGAAACGGACTATTTGATAACAACTGTTATATTCCTGACTTGGTACAGGACATTTTAAGAAAAAATGGTGGATTGAACCTGGTTTTATGGCTAGCCAAACCTCCCGCTTATATGGCAATGTTAAAAAATACCGCTAAAATGACAACACTAGGTGACATGAATACAGTACAAACAAACGCAAGAACATTCAGTACAGAGAAATACATTTTAGATAAATCCTATTCCTTGCATGGATTTAGAAGATAACAGTATTGTAATTGAAGAGTCTTGTTCATGCCTTTAGAGCATTACATAAAAATTGATGCCCTGAAATATTCAAATACTATAATACTGTTATCTTAATTACAATGCAACTGCGAAACATCGTTGAATTATACTTTAAGGATGTACACCTCTTAGGAGTCCAAAATTTCTAGAATTAAACTTTTTTTCTTTTCTTGATTTTTGGGTTTATATGACTGTAAGACAGTAATTGATTAAAAATCATATTGTGGTGCACTTCTTTTTTCGCTACGGCCATTTACCTATTTTTAATGATTTTCCCATTTTTCATAAATTTTAACTCATTTTTAGGCTATCATCATGAAAAGAATCACAGTTTCAAAATTAAACTTTTTTTTCATGCTTTCGCTTAAGATGAAATGAACCAATATGAATAAATTTACCTTAAAAATCTATAGTTTGGTGTTAATATTAAAACTTTTATAAAATTTTGTTGATTTTTCTTGTCAAATTGACCATGCTGTCAATTTTGTAAATTTGGGATTTTTTTCTTTTGTTTTAGAACAAAAAGCATATTATTTCAACTTCTTTGTTATAAATGATTTGAAAAATACATATCTAAGAATTTTCAAAAGACAAAATTGATATGGGATGTACATATTTTTGGTAAAATCATTTCCTTGTATCCTAACCCATTTTCCCAACATTTTGGCTGATGACACGGATTGGTTATAAAATTTGAAAATTTTATTACTTAAAAACTACTTATTTTAAGTACACAATTTTTTCATTGAGTTTAGTTTGATTATAATATTTTTAAGATTCATTGATATTTTTCACTTGTATCTCATGTTTTGGAAATAATTCCCGAACGAGATTTCAACGATACTTAAATATCAGAAAAAGACATCCTTAAATCTGATTTTATATGAATATATGTATACTATATAAATAAATATGACTGCGCTTGCAAGCTTAAGTTCAGCATTTCAATCATGTAATTAATAACCTACAATTTGTGACGTTATCCAAACAAAATTAGCGCTGCTATGTGGCATTACAATTTTAAATACATGTATAACCAAAACGATATTGTATTCTTTGGTATTCGTTCACAAGATATGTTTGAACGAGTATTTATTGATAGTATTATTGAGTATGTGCTAAGGGTGTTCTAAATAAAAGGCGGAAGATAAAAAGGGGGAAATTCAAAGCTCATAAGTCGAAGAAAAACCAACATGCCATGGCAAAAAAAAAAACGAAAGACGGAGAAAAGACAAACAACGGGTGTTCTCAGTTGCTCCGGAAGGGTAAACAGATTCCAACTCAATGATACAATATCTGCCAAACAACTACGCACAATAAGTATTCGTTCAAGCCATTTACGATAGTGACTGACAAACAATGAAAGTGTGAATCTCTTATTAAATAATATGTTTCCAATGGTATTTTTACACACGTTGTAAATTTGTGAGAGCAAAGACTTGCCACGTCAGTTCTGTTAAAATCTTGCCTTTATAGTTGTTCATGAGTATTGCATCTCACTCCTTTCTTTGGTCGTTTTCGTTTTTTGCCAAGACATTGTGAGTTCTTTTCCGCCTCTCTTTTCTTCTTTAAATAAAATACATGTCATGAATGAAATCTATCAGTTCGAACGTAGATATGAAAGGATGGATGTTTTTTTAATCCACAATTTACAAAATTAGGCAAAATCTATAAAAAACATGCAACTTAAGCATAAGCTTGTAATTTTATACGCCTTGTATTTTGGATGAGTTTGTTCAACCTCTGGGTTGATGCCACTGCTGGTGTACCTTTCGTTCCCGATGGTATCAGCAGTCTAGTAGTTAGAACTTTTGTGATGACATAAAATATCACTAATATGTTAATTTTCTATAAATTTACGTTTCTAAAATATTGATGTATTCGAAATGCTAAGGTTTTTCTACCCCGGCACCAGGCACAAATTTTCGGAATCGTCGGCTTTTAATGGTCTTCAACTTCGTACTTTATTAGGCCTTCCAAATGTTTGGATTCAAACGCTATTATTATGTACAAGAAACGTGCGATTGGTACACCAAATAAAAAAACCTTTTAAATCTTTTATTAGCCTTTTCAAATGGTCTGATATTACAGTATTCAGAAGCTATAGACTTCAAAACTATAAAAAAAAAATATGCCCGAATAATTTAAATAGTTTTAAAGACGTGGTTAAGAAAACGAAAAAAATGTTCAATCTATTGATTGATGTTTTATGCTCAATGTCCTTCGTATTATAATGACGAGACGAGAGAAAAAAGAATAATTTATTCAATAGGTAAATAAAAAAATAAGAAGATGCCAATGAGACATCTCTGACATTAACAATAACAATTATAGGTCACCGAACGGCTTTCAACAATGAGAAAAGTGTAACATGGGTAAACCAAAGAAGAAATTATAGGGGAAAAGATGGTATTTTGGATAGGGGTGGGCTACCTACGGAACATTCAAAACAGATTTTTTGTTAATTTTTTTTACATGACATTCCGATAAAGAGGCATTTCATTTGACGTCAATATTCCAACCTGACTTAGTGTCGTGGCTCAGGGATTAATTAGGAGAAGCGGAAAAAACAGGAAACAATTACTTGTGTTTCTTATCCCGTCAACATTTTGGAATGTTAGTTATAAATTTCATCATTAAGGGGCACTCATCGTATGAATGTTTCGTATCAAAAAGAATTATTTTGTTCTGAAAACTGTTTTGTAGTTGTCAAATTTTATTCAGAATAATACATATTAAATAAAAAGTTCAATAAGTGCTGCTTAGATTAAGTTTGATAATACCACTCTTCGAATCTGATTGAGTTTTCATTGGTAAATGTGTGAAAGTGTTTAAAACGGTGTGATTATGTATTCTCTTTTTGCATTTCCCGCCTTAACTTTTCTTTTTTTTTCATTTCATTTTTCTTTTCTTTTTTTAAATTTTCTTTTCTTTTTTAAAAAAATTTTTTCTTCTTTTTTTCTGCTTTTATCGGATCTGTGCCCCAAGTGGGAATATACTGAGCATCGTCAACTACTTTCTCTGCAAAGTCATAAAACTTTTCAGTTTTTGCAATGTTTTTAACACATTTGGAACTTGACAAATCTAAAGCCTTTGCTTTTTTATCGATGTTTATGACGATTTGTTCTTCAATGTTTTTAACAATGTCGTCTATATCTTTTAGAAATTGAATCTCTATTTTACACGTTATTGCAGAAGTCTCAAAAATTTCCAAAATCTTTATCAATGTATCTATTTAGCTTCTGAACTTCAATCATCAATTGAACATCCGAAGCCTCTTTTAAGGTTGCTTCCAATATTTGCTTAGTATTTGCGATAGCTGTTTTTCTATTCTCGACCTTCTGAATAGATAACTCGAGTTTTCCCTTTTCACTGTGGAAGGTTTCTTTATATTTGTTTGTCCATTTGATTTTAAGTTCCTCAATCCTTTTCTGCAATATTTTCCAAAAAGTATCACATTTCTGCAATTCTAAATCAAAAGCGGCGTCCATGTCAACTAAAGAACTTTTTTCAGCTTCCAACACAGTATCTAAATCAACCAATAAAGCACTAACCTCATTTTCAGTCTTGCTTACTTTGTTCAAAGCTCGGAAATTTTTAGCAGCTTCTTCGATAGTCAAAACATTCTCACATTTTCTATGTTTTACGGAAACACATATTGAACAGCATGGTAAATCATGATCAACACAGAACAGTTCTAACTCTTTATTTTTGTGCTCGGAGCACATATTCTTAAAAGATTTCAAAGCGTACCCTTCTTTCGAAATGTCTGATATTGGAACTATTTCATGATTTGAACTTAATTTATTACTTTTATGACATCGTGTACAATTTGCGCAAAGAGCATCAGAGCAATCAATGCACACGGAAGACGCTTCTGACTTCGTATTGACATCAAATCGTTCGCATGACATACATATCTTTTCGGTACGTTCCACTTTATATTTTTCGATTAATCCAACCAGGAGAAAATTCAAGGGCATCTGTTTTGACCATTCTTCGGGTGTTATTCTTGCCTCAGGGGCAGAAACTTTAGACCTACAAATAGGGCAGTCAATACTTGTTCTGTCTTTTTCAAATGCGGAAGTAATATATGTTGCGATACAACTTTCGCAAAAAGTATGTAAACAAGGTAAATATTTCGGAATATTAAACTGTTCTAGACAAATTGTACATGTTGTTATATCGTCGTCTGTTGTACAAGAACTTACTTCAGTTGTCGCCATTTTATTCGCTGGTATCAAGCTTTTTTTTGTCTGTATGTTTGTTCAAAACATTCCTCACCTAGTGCGACCGGGATAACTAAATTGTAAAATGAAATATATCGATGAGAACGGAAATGTTTAAATCCGTCTTCTGTTGTAAGTGTGACGTTTATGGTATAATGGTTTAATTGTTCTTTCAAATTATTTGACAAAATATAAAATGTTTTATGCACCTTCAGAACGAGGAAAAATTGAAAAAAACTGTACAGTGGGTCGACTTCAATGAAGGACGGGCAAGTTTGACTGGACAACACTAAAAAGAAGGCAATTTGGATTAGGGACTTTTGACTTGTAATGGTCACCTACCGACCATTTAAAGATTTCTTGCAGAGATTTTATCACATGCATATGCATAAAGCATGGAATACTCGCAATACATGGCATTGGGTTAAACACCCTTTTCCCGACCGTATATGTGTAGTTATAAATCCGGGAACCTCAAACGGGTACCTTCTCATGATTTATATTAAAATAAGGCTGGACAACACTAAAAAGAAGGCAATTTGGATTAGGGACTTTTGACTTGGAATGGTCACCTACCGACCATTTAAAGATTTCTTGCAGAGATTTTATCACATGCATATGCATAAAGCATGGAATACTCGCAATACATGGCATTGGGTTAAACACCCTTTTCCCGACCGTATATGTGTAGTTATAAATCCGGGAACCTCAAACGGGTACCTTCTCATGATTTATATTAAAATAAGGTGAAGTGGTATGATTGGCATGATATAACTCCCATCTTATTGCCTAAGGATAACAGTTGTTGTATTGCCGGATTGGAGAAGTCCTGGTTTACCAAATGTGTTTACCTCAGTCAACCCGGGGGATTTATACAGTTGCGATCACAATATCAGTATAAATAATATGAAACCTAAATTTTATAAATGCGATATAACATAACTTCATATACTTGTTAGATCTATAAAAAAAGGAAAAATAAATAAACTGCTATTTGTCATTAGATTGCAGAAGTGCAATAGAAACACAGTCCCTATTACAAGTACACGAAATTCAATGGCAAGAACTACTGTTCATATTACAGTACAAAATGTAAAGCTTTAATGATACATGTAGAGCTGCAAAAACGTTGCGAATCTATGCTTTTTATCTTTGCTGACAATTTGGGCATTGGTATTTCAATCGCTGGCGACGAATCGAGATTTGCTACTAATAGTAATAAAATATACCTATATACTCCATGCATGAATTTTGATCAGAGCTAGGAAAATGCAAAAATGCATCCTCCAATGAACATAACACCATAATTTCAATTATTTTTGACAAATATTACATTTCCAATTAAAAAGATAAAAAATATAATATAATTATCACGCGAGAATTATATTTTTTATATTTCGATTTACACAAAAAGTTTACTAATACAGTAGCTAAAATGTCACGGTCTATGATGGGTATCTTTAAATGTCCGTTTTAAATTGCAAAAAAGAAAATAAGTCAAATGGCAAATGGTAAAAGGACAAGGTACGATAAGGGGTGTTTTTGGCCCCCTATCCACATAAATTAAATTTATATTAATATCATTGATAATCTTAGTGAAGAAACATGAAAAAACAATGATTTTATTGTGTTCCGGTGAAAGGAAGGTTGCCTATCAACGGTTTCTATCAAATATCAAAATTAATACATATTAATTGTTTATCGGTACAAATTAGAACAATTATTCCAATTAAAACTGATTGTTTAAGAAGAACTTAAAGTCGCAAATGAATAGTCCCTTTGATTTCATTTACTGTATGCTTAAAACAACCTAACAACAGAAGTGTTGCCTAGTTAATGGTGCAAAATTAGGTGTATTCCCCCTCTGAAGTATGAATTTAGCAGTTTTTTTAAGACTTTTCTTTTTCATATGGTGTTGCATTCCATTATATTCAATATCTTAGTCAAGTCATCATTATTCTTCTTAACACTTTCTGTATTGAGCATAGCAACACAAATGTTGCTTAGCAACAGCAAAATTAATGTTTGAATTAAAGACAACTACAAATCAATTAGTCATTTTATTGTACTAATTAAACTAAATGTAATGCAGATTGTCTGTTAATGAACAACTATTGGTTAGAAATGAAAGTCAGTTCAATTGTAGTTCCCTTGATGCATATCAACAACTTAGATACATAACAAGTGCATAGCAACCGTTCAATAATGGGTTCTTTGTGTTATCTGAAGTATGAATTTAGTAATTTTGGAAGAATATACTTTCTCATATGGTGTTACACTATGATATAAACATCTAGATTATCATTAATCTTTTTTGACGAATTCTATATCGGGCATAGAAACCCACATGTTGCTTAGCAACAACAATTTGTTTTTAATTACAGACAACTACAAAACCTATGTTTCAATGTGAAGGTCTTTTCATGAAAACAAGAATACAAAGGATTTACTAATTAAGGGTAGGTCTGAACAATTTTTTAAAGATATTTAACAGTTAATGAAATGAAAGAGACATGAGTTGTACCACAAACAGACCTCGTCTGGAATAAAATGTCTAATCCTGGCAATAAATAATTAATATGATGTACGTTGGGGATATGAATGTGTCCCCTGGGTACAAATCCTATGGTGAATTAGAAATGGCTTATCAAGGCAATGGATGGGGATATAAACCATTTTAGAGATACAATGTAATTAACGATTCATGATATAAGGGGGATATGACCTCAAGGGGTCCTCCGGTACAGCCAAAATGAATTGACATGGCCTGTAAAAATATATATGGTTTTTGAGTTGGACATATACAACTCAATTATTTTACCTTGTAAGTCAAGGGTAAAGGTCATAATGATATTAGACTGATATGGTATCTTAAAGTTATACACTTTATGCTAAATATCATAAGTCAATGTAAAAAAATAAGTGTCGGCTAGGATAAGTGTATATGAGAATAGAATCCAAAAGAAGATGAAGAAGATTCAAGAATACTTAAGTTAAACATAATGTCTCCATTCATTTCTTCTTGGAAGCCAGGGAAACATGATAAAGAAAAGTGAGAACTGAGTACTGAATAATCTGCCGTTTCTTTCATGATGAAATGAAATATGGAATTTTTTTTTATCTGTAAATATGATGTGGATACTGGCGATGTCGAAAATGGTTTCTCTTTCCTGTCGTGTTGAATGGTTCGTAACTATCATGTAAAGCTCATAGATCTATTTTGCATTTTGTATTTTTTAGTTATGTTTTTGTGTTTTTTATATTTTGTTCATAAAAAAAAACAATTATATTTGGACAGGCAAGTTACTGATAAAAGTATATAATTGCAGAGGTCAATTATTTCGGTATGTGCGTATGTTTAAGCAATAATTTATATAATAAGAATAATATTTACTATACGCATTCTTCATTTAAAGTCATTGTACAATTAAATAGATAGAATAAATTAATTAAAACTATACAAAATCTTGTCAAAACTGACTGCACATTTAATGTTTAATCAAATGGCACAATTTTAAAAGTTGTAATAGTACGACATTTGGTTATCTCAACTTTTTATTATCAATAATAACACTACATATAAAGATAAGGAGATGTGGTATGATTGCCAATGAGACAACTGTCCACCCAAGTTCAAATGAAGTGGATGTAAGCAATTATAGGCAACCGTATGGCCTTTAACAATGAGAAAAACCCATACCAAATAGTCGGCTATAAAAGACCCCGACATAAAAAATGTGAAACAATTCAATTGAGAAAATTGACTGCCTAATTTATAACAAAACAATTTACAAAAAACAAGTATGACAGACATGAATCAACGAAAACCACTGAACTACAGGCTCCTGACTTGGGACAGGCACATAAAGAATGTGGCGGGGTTAAACATGTTTGTGAGCACTCAACCCTCCCCATAACCTGGGACAGTGGTGTTACAGCACAACATAAGAACTGAATATAAACAATAAAAATCAGTTGAAAATGCCTTGACTCATCAGATCTATACAAAGTAGAAAACATCCAACAAAAACACAGCCTGGACGTGGCAGGGTATTTATACATCCCTAACAACAACAAAAAAAAAAAAACACAAAGTACAGATCTGAGAGTACTTGCAGTTGTATGTCTCATTAGAAGCCATACTTTTGATTGTATGACAACAATCGAGAGACATTCCAAAATCAGATGTTATTTCCAACAACAAAAAATGCAACCTGTATGACAGCAAGTACTTCCCCCTGACAATGTTTCAAGAACGCATAGGAAAACAAACGAAAAATTTGATAAAACTCGTAATTTCGTGGTTGTAGCATTAAAATGTAATAATGCTTTGAATGCTTCGATGACCTATAGTTGTTAATTTCTGTGTCATTAAGTCTCTTGGCAATCATAATACATATTCTTATATATTTATAGCGATGTCGTTATTACGACATAGCTATGTCGTAATTTCGACATAACATGTCGTTATAACGACATCGCTATGTCGTAATTTCGACATAACATGTCGTTATTACGACATCACTATGTCGTAATAACGACATAGCTATGTCGTAATAACGACATCGCTATAAATATATAAGAATATGTATTATGATTGCCAAGAGACTTAATGACACAGAAATTAACAACTATAGGTCATCATAATGCCCTCAATAATGAGAAAAGCCCCCGCATAGTCAGCTATAAAAGAGGGACGAAAGATACCAGAGGGAGAGTCCCCGACATGACAGCTGTTTAATAATTTAATTCAAACGAGGGAAAATAACGGTTTTAATAATGTACAAACAAAGAATATGTAACACAGCAACAAATGACAACCACTGAATTACAGACTCCTGACCGCTATGTGATAATAACGGCAACCTTATAGTTTAACTTTTCACTTTTTGATGCGATAGGCATTTCAAAATGGTTGTCAGTAAAGGCAAAGTTTGTAGCGGAAACAAATTCATCTTTTTTTTATAGAATAATGAACACTATATGCAATCCAGCTTAATTAAGCTACTTGGAGCCTCTAATTATGTTTGGCATGTACAGATTTGTGTAAATTATGAAGTCCTGCATTTCCATTGCAG